GGGCAAGCCCGGGGCCGGTAAGCGGTAGTAGCCGTTCTCGCGCTGGCGGATGGGCGGGACGGTGAAGAGGATCAGGCTGGCCAGGAAGAGGACCCGTTTTTGCTGGAACTTCAGGGGCACTTTCCACCAGGCGTGGAGGGCCGTGAGCCAGACCCGGCTTTGTTGGCGGAGGCGCATGGGGACTTTCCGCCACATGGTTGTTGTGGTGGTGTGGCGTGCATAGAGGGGGGGAAGGGGAAATCGGGGGATGGAGTTGGGGGTGGGGGTGAGAAGGAGGAAATGAGAAAGGAGGAGGTGAAGATGGACGTAGTAGCGAGTAACTACTACGCGCTGCAATTCGAGGAGGGGAGGTGGTTTGGTGGTAATAACTAACTTAGCGTTTAAGTATGGGGAACGGGGGACCTTAGGTTGTTGCCGTGGGCGGGCGCTTACCTACTAGTATTGTTGATTCCACCTCCCGGCCCTCCCCCTCACGCTAATGTGACCTATCAACCTTCTTTGTCCCCAATCTAGATCATGCCATTCGTTCAGGTCTCAACCCCGAAGGTCCGTGTTGCGTCTCTAAGGTAGTACCCTACTTATTAAATCACAACGGGCAGAAAGTTGATTGGCAGGTTGATGATTTCAGATTTCTACTGTGTAGAAAAGAAATGTCTCACAAATTAAGTATAATTGATGGTACACGCTAGAATACAATAAAGACATTAGGGTACATTTCCAATGCAGATTGGCCAACCCACAAATCAAATGTGTCCCGGACCATGCATGGGACTGGATAACGAAAATTCATGTAGACAGATCATCACAGAATGAAGGCGTGTGTGGGAATAAAACAAGAATATCATGACTGACGGATGTGAGTGAAGGAAATGGGCCAAAGAGTGGTATGTTGAACTGGGAAAGAATAGTATGGTGAGCCAGCGAAGCTGTTATCTCCGCCCACATATCATGAGTCTTTGTCAGTAGACTCCTCGGACCTTCTAAAGCAATCAGGAAGAGGAAGGTCGAAATCATCCACAATATCCTGACCTTCAGCTAATTGGTCCTCGATGTTGCGCTTGAGCTCCCCCGTAGTCGAGTTCAGAGCAGGCCCGATAACAATCCGGGCAGCAATATGGATGAGCACGACCAGGAGCTGAATGGGAGGGACCAAGACGAGTGAGGCGGTCTTGTGAATCAAAGAAGCTGCATCGTGCTTCTCAGGTCTGGCAAGCGTCAAAGTAGATGGTGGTGGCATGGGAGAGACCTCCCGCTGGCGGGATGCCTTGGAGCGACGGCGAAATTCTGCGCTCATGCTGGAAAGATTAGAATTAGAGTCGGTGCTTGAAGCAAGCCCGGTAGGTTCTGGGGCGGGCGAAGGAGAGTTAGAGGTGATGGTAACTGGTTGGGGCTCTTGCTCGGAAAGGTCTCTTGCTAGATCGTCTGCCGGCGACATATGATCCCAGCAGTCGACGTATACAGAGACCCTATTGTCAGAGCGCTTCGACTTGAGGAGATGTGAGTCTTCCGAAGACGAGTGAACATCACCACTTTCATTGTCATAGTGGTCGTCACTCTCGCTTGACGCAGGAGTAGAGCAGGTGTCCAAATCCGGGATAGCTGTAAAAGAAGGGCCAAGTGAGTGAAATGATTCCACACTAGAGGAAAATGATAGTTCAGGATCAACCTGATCTTCAGCACTATCTTCGAACCTTGCCAGCAAGGTCTGAAAGTTCTGCTGTGTTTCGGCCACGAACTGGCCCGAACGCTGAGTTGGACCTGTGATCTGAATGGGCTCAGACGACTCATTGTCGTCTGCGATGGTCTCTAAAACGGTGCTGTTGCTGCCTCTGGTCGTAAAGCCACTATCGTCCGTCGCATCTCCGTCCGTGTCTTCGCCAGCGCTAGGCGAGTCAGTCGCCAAGTCATCCTTTGGTTGAAGTCGGTCGTGCTTGTATATGGAAGAGACGGGGGCGCTTTCTCTGCGCCCTTTGGGACGCCATGCCCTCTTCCTTCTAGGCGCCTTGGCTTCCTCGGGGATTTCAACGGTGAAGCCCCTCTTGAAGGGACAGGGCGTAACTTCATATCGGAGAATCTTCGGCAACACATTCTTCATTTCCGCGACCAACGTTCTATCGTCCTCCACTTCGTTGGGCAGTTCGATGCGATAATAGGTGAGAGGTCGGATGCGCAGGACGAAAGTCGACTCGCCATCAACGCACCAACATTGTGAGTTCTTGAGGATGGCGTGGACGACATTGCCGCATTTCAAGAAGACAGTCAAGCCGTGAACATTTTCTAGACGAAGAGGCGCGAGCGCGACCGTGCGTTCGGTAGGCGATCTCCAAGGAAGTGTCTCGACGGTGTCAACCGGGTAATCAAAGTCCGCGGGCGCGGTGCTCGAGGGGATAGGCGCGAGGGCTCTAGGGGCAAAATGGACGACTTTGGCGGAGGGATGGTAGAAGAGATCGTTCTCGGACGGTTTCACAGATTCTGAGTGACGACGTGTACGCGGGTTTAATTTGGTGGGGAGAGTAGCAGACCGACGGATGGACAAGGTCTGAGGGAGCGGCGCATCGGAGGAATTAGACATCCTCAATCATGGGGATCTTGGATGATGGGAATATAAGGAAAAAAAGAAAGGGACCGAAACAGAAGATTACATTGAATAGAAGTGTAGGGTGATTGAAAAGTGCAGGCGATGTGAAATATGGAAGTGTCAAAAATGGAAAAGGAGAGACGATCAGCAGGGATATTGAGGAGGGGGGGGGAATAGAAAAGAATGATGGTGGTGGTGGTGAGATAATCGAGCCCGAATGACCCCGGAAGATGGATGGATGAACTCAAACTGGAATAATCATGGCAAAAACCAATCTGGACTAGTCGCGGATCTCCCCTGCGCTCTGCACGCTGCAAGCTTGTTGGGGCTGGTGTGGAGTATGATGTAGATAGCCTCAGGCAGTAAGGCACCACATACAATCACGTGAAGTGTGGCGTCGTGGGGCTGGGCGGGTAGTCCGGCTGCTGGCTCCGGCGCTTAGCGGATGTTGCACCAATCCACAATCACAGCCATACTTGGACATTTCCGTTATGTGGTTGCCTGTGGCTGTTCCCCCTCGAGCCAACGCACCACTATAAATAGCTCTACATGTCTCAATTCTTTCTCTTTCACTATCCCTGAGCTCACATCTGCTTTCTTCCTGGGTATAGTCGAGCATCATGCCGAACTTCGAGCCGAACGCCGTTATTCGCGGCTGTCAGCTCACCATTGTTGGAAGTGAGTGAGATTCTTCCCCTCTTTTACCTCTCCACCCGCCGCGTGGAGCTTGCTTGTGGCTCCATGAAATCCACCATGTGAAGCAGAAAAGGGGTCTTTGAGATGGCTTCTCTTGCTTTGTCATGCCTGGCTTTCTCAATTCTTGATCGTCAGACCTGCTGTCGCGCAGAATGATCGATGGGCGGCATTGAGCAAAACACCTACGTCATCGGAGCATGAGAGTTGGATCGCTGACCATCGCTTCATAGCTGTGCGCGCGCTGGGGAATCCCGACTTATTTAAATACAACCACTTTCGACAGGCTGTCTTTGCAGTCGCTGTTGGAATTGCTATCCAACTTATCATTCAAATTCCGGTATGAGCGGTGCCAATTACCAGCCTCGAGATATCTGGCCCCCAAGCTAACAGATCACGTCTAGATCATTGGGGTCAAATTCGTTCTCTGGATCCTCTCATGGGTTCTTGATCTAGAAAATGCCACCTGGGATGACTCTCTCGTCGAGGGTCTCGACTTCATCTCCAACTCGGTGCTCCAGGTGCCCTTCTTGCTCATGACACTAATGCGTTATATCACACCCACCCTGGACGAGATGTAAGTCAAATATTATGATTGATATTCAGTCGGATTGGGTATGTTGACTAGTTAGTTTCATGGAATCCCTCAAATGGGTTGACGCGACCTACGTGCACAAGCACAAGCATGAAGACCCCAAGAACCTGCGCGAGATGTATTACCCCAACCTTTCCATGTACACCACCGCAGACGGCAAGGTCAGAACTCCCAAGGGCGCCGGCCTTGCAGCATTCTTCATGTTCCTCAGACGGTACGGCAAGCGGGCTGGATTGCTCCTCGGCACTTACCTCTTCTCTTTGGTCCCCGTCATCGGCCCTTTCGTGATGCCGGCTGCTTCGTTCTTCGCCTTCCAAAGCGCCGTGGGAACGACCCCTGCGGCTGTCATTTTCGGGGCCGGCTTTATCCTCCCCAAGAGCTACGTGGTCTCGTTCTTGCACAGTTACTATGCCTCCCGCAGTCTTATGCGTGAACTTGTAGGTTATTTTCTTGCCTCCCTTCTCGTGCTCATTTGTCTAACAGCAGGAACAGTTGGAGCCCTACTTCAGCCGTGTGCCCTTCACCCATGAGCAGAAGAAGCGTTGGTTCGCTGATCGTGAAGGGGTCTTGTTCGGCTTCGCATTCGCTTTCACCCACGTTATGAAGGCGCCCTTCATTGGAGTCCTCCTTTACGGCGTGGCTCAGGCATCGACTGCCTATCTGGTCACCAAGATCACGGATCCCCCACCGAGCCCTGCGCTGAAGGAGGGATTCGCTGAGACTCAGACGACCTGGAAGAACAAGCACGATTTCCTGAGTCTTCCCTTGGATAAACTCGACAAGATTAACATGGAAGAAGAGGAGGAAAAGCCCAAGGCATCTGATGCCCCAAGCCGGCAATTGTCCTAGATGGTGGTGGATTGAAGGAGGAAGGCCCCGGGGTTTGAATGAGCGGCGGAGTAGACAAGCCGGGATCTGTATAGATTTGGGGCGGAGTTTTGGGGAAATTCGTAAAGGGCTTTTATAAGAGCCGTATGGGTGTAACAATTCCGATATCGTTATCAGAAATAGTTGAATGCAAAATAGATGGGAAGAGGTGGGAGAAGCTTCCCCGCAGATAAGCGTCATTGACCCTCCGATAAGATAACCTTGTCCCACTTTCTCTCCCTCCCCCTCATCATCCTCCCCGTTCATTTCCGATTTGACCTGCTGATAACCATGGGTCTGAGCGAGACTTTCTTTGAACTGCTGCAGCGGGGAATGTTTTTCTTAGCTGCAGGGGAGGATCGTGCAGCTACGAATACTTAATTGGCGACTGTCAGCCCGGGGGAGGGGCGTTTCCTGCAGAGCTAAACTCATTCTTCCCTTCTGCTGTACATCTGCAAAGACCTTCACCAGACACCAGACAGAAGTATCACATCACATCGTACTCACCATGGGCCACAAGAAGATCCGCACGGCGCTCACGGTTGATCTTGACAAGCCCGCCTGGGAGCAGCCTGGCTTACACGTGCGTGTCATCTGATCTGATACAGTTCCTGTCTCCGCATCGATACTGATATTCTGCAGAACCGATGGCATCCAGATGGTACCGCCACGGTCTCTATTGATCTGACATAATCCCCAAGCGCCATGCTAATCATAACCTCATTGAAACGAAACCAGTCCCCGCATGCGGCAAAATCGCCAACAATGAAGTCGTCAAGATCGAATGTCTCGACTGGACCGGCGGCCAGATCAAGAACAACGATTCCGCCGACGACGTCAAGAATGTCGACCTCACCCAGATCCACTACCTATCCGGTCCCTTTGAGATCGAAACCGCCGAGCCCGGGGACGTCTTGCTGGTGGAGATCCAAGACGTTCAGCCCTTCGAGGATCACCCCTGGGGGTTTACGGGGATCTTCCACAAGAATAATGGAGGCGGGTTTCTGGATGAGCTTTATCCTAAAGCGTGAGCCAGACCCTTACCTTACGCAATCTGATTTGGGAGGAGAGGCGAGGCCCTAGAACTGACTGACTGTATACCGCAGAGCAAAGGCCATCTGGGACTTTGAGGGGATCTTCTGCTCGTCGCGACACATTCCCCACGTCCGCTTCGCAGGACTGATACACCCCGGAATCCTGGGTTGCGCGCCGTCCGCCGAGATCCTGGCGGAGTGGAATCGTCGGGAGGGGGAGTTGATCGCGGCGAGCGCGGATCTCCAGCGCGATGTGGCGAAGCCCCCCGAGCCGAAGAATGCGCATGCAGGGAGTGCCGATGAGAGTCTGAAGGAGAAGATCGCTAAGGAGGGGGCGAGGACGATTCCGGTATGCTTCCCTCACTTCATCATGCGTTCCCGTGAAACGAGGTGAAGTTGGAAGCTGGGCTCGAGCTAACACAATCTTGATTTCTGCCCTAGGGCCGCCCCGAACACGGCGGCAACTGCGACATCAAGAACCTCTCCCGCGGCTCCAAGGTCTATCTCCCCGTGCACGTCCCCGGCGCGAAGTTCTCCGTCGGCGATCTGCACTTCTCGCAGGGCGACGGGGAGATCTCCTTCTGCGGCGCCATCGAGATGGCCGGCGTCATCACGCTCAAGTTCACCGTGCTCAAGGGCGGGATGGCCAAGATGGGCATGAAGTCCCCGATCTTCCACCCGGGCCCCGTGGAGCCGCAATTCGGACCGGGTCGATACCTGACCTTTGAGGGGTTCTCGGTCGATGAGAATGGGAAGCAGCATTACCTGGATGCCACGGTGGCTTACCGCCAGACCTGCCTGCGGGTCATCGAGTATTTGCGTCGGTATGGGTATGATGATTACCAGATCTATCTGCTGCTGAGCTGCGCGCCGGTGCAGGGACATATCGCCGGGCTGGTGGATATCCCCAACGCGTGCACGACGCTGGGGGTGCCCATGGATATCTTTGACTTTGACATTCGGCCGGAGGGGGATGTGGTGCAGTTGGATATGGGGAGCTGTGCGTTTACAAGTGAGTAGGGTAGATGCAGTGGTTTATCTGTCAAGAATTGAGGAATGCTGTTGCCTTTCAATCCTACGTGGTCTCTTCCAGCTTGGTATGATTATTCCTTACGAACCAGCATCAGTTAGTCAATGCCTGGATGCTCCGCAGCCGTAAGTTCAGTTGCATACTAAACGAAAGCAAGGCGATTGTGTAGACTATCGATGCGTAAGGGCACGGCTTTTGCCATAAAACTAATAATCCAGGCTTTCATTGATGAAAGTCAGAGTTGCATTTGGGTTTAACATACCAACAAGCGAAGCCAAAAAGGGGGGCATAGCACAGAATGACTGGCGACTCGGATCCCAGAGCCAAAGAGACCTGCAAGGAAAAGTGACCCCAGCAACAACCACATGGCATCTCTCATGGGGTATCATATGTCCGGGATATGCATTGCAAGGAGCCCTTCACCATGCCAGAAACCGAAGAATGATTCGCAGCAGCGAACAAGAGGATCTATAGATTATGACCGGCATATGCGTAGCATAAACCCTTCGTGATGTTCGGGGATATCATAATGGTCATTCTGTTGGTTCCCGATGAGATGGAAGATCCTGTACTGCTACCAGATGTCACGGAACACCGCCATGGGCGAGGAAACGTAAGTATCAAGATGAATTGTGTTGAGTTGTTGAGGAAAGGAAGTTCGCGGGAGCGAGGCGGGCTAATGGCCGAATATCGACTACCACAAGTTCCGCTACAGATGCCGCAGTTCTAAGAACTGCTGGTGTCCTCGACTGCTAGCTATATCAAGATCGTCATAGATCCGGTGACGGTGGCGTAAGGTCGAGATAGTCGATAAACATAGCGTCTAGAGACGATGAATGAATCATTTTAGAATGTAAGAAATAGACTGAATATGCAGTCTGGAATGCATCGACACGAATAGACGTTCGTACTGAGGACTCCGATATGAGGAGGGAGGAAGGTAGAACAATTCATCAAATCAAGCAATCTGATTGATGATATTTTCATTAGCTAAGAGACAGGCAGATTGAGGCTAAATAATAAAAAAGAAGAGAGACTATTGACTAATAAGCAATAACTAAGCTACCGGGCTACTATCAGCCGGGATGTTGCTTCAAATAAAGGATAAACCTCAACAAGCATTAGAATAAAGGAAACAAGCTGTTGTACGCGCTTGACGCGGTTGCGTGCAGTGACATAGAGGAAAAGCACCGCTGAACGACAGGAGTAATCTCTTGATTGTCGGGCTCAACCGAAGATCCAGGAGCAAAAAGATCAACGTCTTAGAGACGTGATAGGACATGCTACCATTGTAGGCGCAGTACGTGATCTCTTTGATATGGTGCATCTGATTGTTGACTAGACTAAGCTCCGGTAAGGCCTTGCCCCAATGCGCCGGCATCAAAATGGCCCGAGAATGGTACTGAACGTGGTCTAATATGTATGTTCAGCAGCAAGAGGAACTGCCCAGTAACCGTCGGCTGCATCCGCCTTGAAGAAGACATGGAGTTTTGCTAACGCCATGCTGTTGAGGATAGGTTCGATTCTTCGCATCAGGTAAGCCATTTTAACAATTGCATCATTCAACGCAAGATATTGATGGACCATTCTCAACTTGCCATTTGACTTCCGAGGAAATGTGGTTTTCGACGACCACGGAGACACGCACCGTTCAATGATGCCGGCGACCACCATCGTTGGGAGATTATCCTGTTGCTATCGTATCTCATCAGGAGTATACATCTTCAGCTTCGCGACCTTCGGTTGAGCCCAAGGATACATCGGAACGCGGTGAATGATGAAATTGGTAACCGGAATGTCCCTCACATCAGCATGACATACGGTGTAAATTGCCGATTCTAGCGGATCCTGCATCCGCCTCAACTTAATAAGGTGACTATCGGCATTGATTTTATGAAGGTTGCACACTAGCTGTGTGGATTTCTAGTTATTTATAACAGACAGGCGAGGGGTAGGTAGGACCATCGGCTATCCACTGGGACTCTGGGAATGTTCCAATTTGGTTTTGATGCCTTGACATGAGCATGGTATATGCATCACGATGAGCAATTATTTTGCCCATATTCTCGAATGCATACATAACATATCTCTGAAACCTGCATCAATCGCGCTGAGATTCCTCATCGAGTCCCCTGAGACACAAGGTACGGAGATACACACGGTCATTCCGTCCGCTAGTTCTGCGTTTCCAGTTTTGGCAGAGTCGAAGAGAGCAAATCGCTCTCAGCTTTGTGGAACCTCGAAGCGAAAGAGATTGCTGCTTGGAAGTTTAGATGACTGAGACTGAGCAAAGGCAAGTATCTCTCAGTTAGTTTTATGGTCAGCAAGCCACCGGAGGATGATAAGTGGTGAGTTTGTGTTATCGGTCTTTGTGGGAGGCTTTTCCTTTCTCTCAAGTTTGGCCCCTTGGATACCTGGGTCAAAAGCAACGTAGGAATTGTGAGAATGATACGTTAGTAGAAATGCGCTTGCTGAGATGTCTGTTTCTAAGCTTCTGATATATCAAGTTGAAAATCGTATAGGAGATATGTTTTATGATAGCGTACGAGCTGAGAGCAATCAACGTCTGGAATGGTTTCAATAGGAGTACCTGTCACCACGAAGTAAATCTTAAGTAAATGGCTTTCTAGTGGAAGTCGACCTGCTTCTCGGTAGCCACTAGATCAGTAATTGGGTATAATGCCCCTAATTCTCAGCCAGTCTGAGGGAGTATTAAGATTTGATACAGCCATGGCAGGTTTGTCCAGGTCTCTGGTAGATGGGAAGGATCAGAATATTGATAGAGTGGCAGAGTTGCAGTGTAGAAGAGTAGAGTGGAAGTGTCGAAATGTGGAGATGTGGAAAAGTTGCAGAATGGAAGTGTGGAAGAGGAGAGGAGCGGAAAGCTAAGGTAGGAGACGAGACACGGTGAACAGCTTTCAGCCTACTGAAAATGAGACAAAAAGCTTCCTAATGTGAATGATTGTAAGATTGAATGGTCTTCTCCGTTGAACCATGCATGTAGTAAAGAAACAAGCTTGTTCACTATACTGAGTAGACAGGGGTGAACAGAACAATGGCTAGAGTAAGTGAATAGAGACAGTCCTTACTATTAGTAGTTCATTACTATTAATCCTTCCTCTCATACCCTTCCTCTACACTCTTTATCCAAGAACTTCACCTGATCTACCCATTGATTTACCTATCAATCACATTCACAACCCCTAGACCACAACACAAGGCCAATCAACCCGACTCCAGTTGATTGCCTTTTCTAACCTATACACGATACAACTAAAAAGACCTCGGTCCAACTATCATGAATCATCTCCTACTCCTCAGTGTATTTCCGGACCTGGAAATAGCTCCACGTCCCACTATAGTTACTTGATACACTCAAGTGCGTAGTCTAGGTGTGAACTTTCACCAAAATTTACTCCTGCCAAGACACAGCAAATCAGTAATTATGGTAGAATCTTCACCCTGTTAATTACCCAGAGAACCTAGAATAAACCCCAGCCTCCTTTCCCGTTAGACCCTTGCACTTGCACAACCAACCACCTGGTATGCCTCAGGCTCTATCTGCAGGTCCCGCGCACGCAATCTGTCTGTCTTACTCTGTATGTAGTACTTATCCATGCACCAACTGCTTGCCTTGTCACGTTTCCTCGACGTCTGCTTCTGCCCTGGAATTCGCACCACCCTAAATCCCCCACCAGTCCAGACAACCACACCCATGAGCATCATCTGTATACATTTCGAATCCGCCGTCTCGAGTAGTAGGTACTCATGATAACTCAAAGCTGCAAGCACAGGTTCTTCCACCCGCTCATGACGCCAATTAGAAATCCCAGGGCAGATTCAGCGCAGCTCTACCCCGCACGAGAGGACCTCCATCCTATACTATACCGCAAGTACTGTACATCGAGCCAAGCACAGACATCCAGCGTCAAGCAAAAAATAGAAAATCGGAATTTCTGCTCTCGCCAATCAGAAAGGCGAAAGGGATGCAAATAGCCACCTTTTTAAACGATCTACGGAGTATGCTGCACTGCATTATGCCCCCGTACTCCGTATCCTCTAAGAGGTTGATACGTCCATACGAGTACGTGTACATGAAGGGCTCGAGCGTAGCGGACGGGATCTCATCACATCACACTTCTCGTCCTGCATGCATGCTTTGGGTTGGGGAACTATCTCTCCAACTGCACTACAGCGCTACAGTACTAGGTACTACACTACGACTACGGTGACTACAGTGACCACGAGACTCGTCGAATCGATGGATGAATACGTTCCTACCGGAGTTCTATGCTGTATGGCACTACCTAGGTAAGTTACCGTACCCTAGGTCCATAGTAGGTACCTTAAACCGTGGATTGAGTCAGGTTCTCACGGGGGTGATGTTCAGTAATCCAGTGTGATTGGGTCGTGGCCGGCGCTTAATCTGGCGTATCAGGTTTGGGCCCCGGGGTTTTTGGTGGGGATGACGGCCCGGCGGGATGCCACCCCCACCAACGAAATGGATGTATCGGAGTCAAGTTGTGCTGTACCTGCTAATCTATTACAGCGAGAAAGAGGGTGATGTACTGCACTTGCCCAGTGTTTTCTTGTCTCTGTACTCCGTACGTCGCTCATCTGTTGATTCTCTGAATGACGGTTATTGGGACAGATTAGATTTTCGCTGGGCACAGAGGCAATGAATGTACTGTATGTACTGCGGTGTGGACCGTGTGGTGCTGTAAATGATAACTAGGTAGTCGTTTGAGAGGGGTGAACACCGAAAGCTCGCCGGCTTCATGTGCTACAGTGGAAGGTTGGCAATGTAACCTCCCAAATTGCGCGCTGCATCCGGATGGCTAAACAGACCAATCCCCCTTTCTCGGGTGCTTGGCTGTTCGGAGACATACACAGTGAGTTAACTGCTACTCGTAAACCAAGAGTTTTTCCAATTCCTAATTCTTGGTATTAGGCTATCCCGCAATATTAGCTACCTACAGTGTCTCCCGTGTAAACGGATGTGTGTATATGCAAAACATGACCCCCGCTGAACGAACACCAACAGTGCCCCGTACTTCCAACAATTTAGTGCTCGTACATGCAAAATTCAAACAGGAATATAGAAATAATGACATCTCGTGGGGTATATCATATGGGTTGGGTGGGTATTGCCGGCCCGCGACAGTACTTTCTTGTCGTTATCTCGTTATAAAGAAAAACATAGCAGAATTTGCGGTCCAGTGGCTAGATAGAATACACGGGTGGTTAGATCGAATATCGTTGGGGGGAGTTGCGAGTTAGGTTAAATGAAGTTGCCCTCAGGGCGCACCTCATAACCTTCATCACGGCCCTTTTTGAGGGCCTTGGCAAGCATCATATCTCGCATCCAGTCGATGCGCTCATCGCGAGTTTTGACCGCAAAGTGGTGTGGCTTGACATCTTTGCTGCCAAAGAGCATCTTCCTCTGGCCTTCCTTTGACGCGGGAACAAGAGAAAAGTTGAACGCTGCGTCTTCGCCCTTGAGGTTGTGTCCGCTGCGCAGGATTGATTTCTTGAGCGCAGCGGTAAGCTTGGAGCTCGAGGCCAGCGACGAGCAGGCGACGGCGTACTCGTCAACATCAATCTCTTCCAAGGCTTTGGAGTGTCGAAGGGCAGCAAGCTCATCTCGGTGCATCTCCAGATTGGTTCCCCGAAGAGTGAAGTGTGCCTCATGCCAGTCGTGTCGGAGAAAGCGGGCTGGCATCCGCTTCTTCATATAGCCGCTGCGGGTCACATCAGGGTCAACCGAAGCGACCATTGTATTATTACCCAGCTTGTGGCCAATGCGTGGGCTGCGTCTCAGATCGGACGGGTCCTCAATTGGAGTCAACGGCTTGTTCTCCTTGACACGGCGCAAGGACATGCTGGCCTGGCGATGCACCGCAGGAGAGCGCGTGGCTGAGCGGTAGCGCTGCTGTTGCATGAGATTTCCGTAGCGCATATCTGGAGGGACAGACTGGGACGTCTCGCGAGCAATAGGTCCCACAGGCTCGGCTGTGACGGGAACGTCCACCTCAGTGAACGGGGTTCCTCGTCGCAAGCACTCGACAGACTGCATCTGCCGTGCGTTGCTGAACGGTCCATATTGCTGAACCGCCGTCGGTGAACCATATGCTCCCTTCGCCATGGACGGGGTGATCGTCCGTTGAGTAGTAACGGCAGTTGTAATGTCGTCAGAGTCGTAGTCTGTCGGAATTTGAAGTTTGGGAAGATTGCGGAGGTTGGCGGTCATATTGTTTGTCCGTGGGGGAGGTGGCGGCATGACGGGTGCCGCTTCAACTGGTGTATCCTCCTCGGGGTACATTTCTGGCTCCGAATCAGATCCAGATGGGGGATCGATGTGCTGATAGCTGAAGTATTGACGCATCTTCTCATGAGGGTCAAGTTTCTGCACCCCACTGAGGGCTTCCTCAGACAATCGTGGAGTAGGCTGAGGCCCGAGAACATCTGACGAGGCAACCACAGAAGGCTCCGCGTCAGACCTGGGTCGCAGCATATTTGCTGCAGTCTCGGGGTTGCCAGGGTTGCCGGTAACAATCCGTCCCCCGGGAACAAGCATAGCGCCTGGATATTCCGCACTAAGCTTCTCCATTTGACGCATGTACCTGCGGTACTTCGGGCAGTTCTCCCCCTTGGAGCAGTTATGCGGCTTGGGTAGGACCTGTTCAATGCCCACAATCGAGACGGCTTCCGCCTCCGTGAGCTGATTTCCGTTGGGAGGTCCGTGGGTGACCACTTCACCGGTAGGGGAGACAGTCATTGCATACGAACGGCGGTCGGGTGATTGCCGGCCTCCCGAGGCAGGTCTCCTCAGCATTGTGTCACGTAGATGATTGATTGAAGCCATGAGTTGATGACGTTTTCCAAATGACTGAATATCTAGTTCCTTCAGATCATCTATCTGAAGATTGAGAAGCACGTTTCCGGAGATGTCATTAATCATGAATTTCTCGATCACACTGCCGTCGTAACCACCGATGTGCATCCAGTGTGCGACTTGACTAGGCGACCAATTCCGAATTTCGTACTCATCAACCTGTGATACATCGGGATGCACAGTCATAAAACCTTGAGGCGTACAAGGCGAGAACGGGATCTTGTTAGAAGTTGGCACATTAGATGGAGCAAATTGTGTACTCTCTGTGCTCATAGAGGTATGTTGTGCGGAGTTGACATATCGCTCGGAGGTTGTGTATTGCTCGGAAGAGACATACTGCTCGGAAGAGACATATTGCTCCGAGGGAGCATATCTCGCTGATGGCATAGACTGCTCAGAGGGGGCAAACCTCGATGAAGGCAGAGAATCTTCTGTCGAGGCAAATTTCGACGAGGCCAAAGATTGCTCTGATGGAGGATACCTTGCTGAAGGCATGGATTGTTCAGAAGGGGCGAGTCTCGACGAAGGCAAACACTGCTCTGAGGGTGCAAATCTTGACGAAGGCAGGGATTGCTCTGATGGAGGGTACCTTGCTGAAGGCAGAGATTGCTCGGAAGGTGGAAACCTAGCCGAAACCGCCGCTTGCTCCGATGCAGGGTAATTAGGGGTCGGAATAGCCGACACGGCGATGTGCGGTGTGGCAGCTGTAGACAAAGGAAATTGTGGGGTTTCGACATCGGACTGAAAGTGAGATTGATTGGGTGATCTCTCGAAATAGAGGTCAATCTCGGTGGATGGCACGGAAGTAGCTGAAGCCATCGATGTCCTGAAGAGGTGGGGACCTGATGGGCCCTTGGTAGAGTCACGCCGGAATGAGAATGGCTGTCTGTCATCATTCTCAGGAGTAGGCAATTCCGGCGTGGACGCAGACGAGACACTGTCGTAACCGAACTATGAAGCCGAGAGTTAGCAGTTTGATCACCTTTGTGGGGATCAAGAGTGGATGCCTTACAGATCCCATGCTCCTGCGGGGTGACTCCTCGTCTGTGTCGCTATATTCAAAGTCTGTGTCATAGAAGTCGGTAGTGGCAGATTGACGTTCTTTCACGACTGAGATCGCGGGCTGAAATAGCTTTGTGCCCGACATGTCCAACGATGCCGGCGGCGCTTTACGGCGACCCCGTGCGGATTCCTACTATCAGTCAGTTCCTGCTGACCTTTTCCCCGTCGCATGAAAGATTCCTCTTACCATTATTGCTGGGCTGTGTTGCTGCACCGATAAAAAGAGAAACTGAAGATCGAAGTTACTTGGCAGAGTGACCTTTAGCTGTGTTCATCCAACGCCAGGCGGATGTAAGGTACGAGAGAGAATTTGTTGTGGGAGACAACGAGACGATCAACGTAGCCGTAGTCAAGAGAGAATGGAGTCGGCGAACCGCTTTCGGGGGCCTCGGCGGTTTATGTATATGAAGAAGCGAGTCTAGAGGGCTTGACCGACAGGTCAACGAGGGGGGAGTGAAACATGCTTGTGCGAGAGAAAGGCAGCCTGATCGAATCGGGTTTCAAGACCTTGAGGAACTCAGACCTCGACATGCATGGTTAATGAAACGTAGCGGAAATCTCCAGACCAGTGAGTGCAGAGAGTGTCGGCGCAAAGGCCAGCCGATACAGGGAAAAAGTGATGTAGAGTGATCACCTTGCAGTAGCCTAGCGGTCAGCACAGTGGTTTCCTGGGGGAGTTAACCAATCGATTGGCGCTGTGGTCGAATTCCCGCAGCAACGAGCGACTGGACGGCTGGGCAACGGATGTGAGAGGCAGCGCAAGAGCCGTTGGTGAGTCTTTACGCGCCGGGGCTGGAGATGAAGGCATGTGGGTTTGTAGGCATCGGGCACGGTGACTGGCGGAGAGTAAGTTCTGTTAGCGCCGTGCCCGCAGCGGCGCTTTCCCCTCCTCCCTCTCTTCCCTTCATCTGCAGATGCACCTGCAGAACCGGAACACTGTGACTGCCGCATTCAAGAGGCCTCGTGCAACTAAAAAGCGCGGTCTTTCCACCACCTCGCCCTCTTTTTCTATCTCTGCCTTGCAATCCAATCACTCTATTCGGTGGCTGGTAGTGCTATCTGGTAGCGACTCTATATATGGTAACTGTTGGGACCTGATCGGGTTCGATTCGCTTGCTCGTTACGCCTGGGCGTCAAGGTTAGCATTTCTATGGCCGGGGTAGACCTACAAAGAAGCAGGTATCCCCTCATCTTGCGTCCTATCTATCTCAGCTACCCGTCGTGCTCTGCGTACCATCCCCCTGCTCGGAACTTTCTCTTTACGCCTCGGTCGAGGCAGGAAACAATCAAACATGCCATACAACTGACATCCCTCAGAGAGCATAGGTTTCTTCCGCCAGCGTTCTATCAGGCTTTACTTGACCGCCTGACAAATCATCACTTTCTTCTTCAGCTGGCAGTCAGATGGTCCGGGTCCAACTCTGCCTGAGTGGTAGGCGTAAGTCTTGTAGGCCAGGACAGACAACAGTCTCCGTGGCGTGATTAGTCTGAATCACCTGCATTGCTGATATAATGTCTTCCTTTCCCAGTCACCTCATAGGTAGTTGACAGGTCAGTCGAAACACTCAAGCAACCACAGCAGGATGCTAGAACCCGTAAGCACGTACAGTCGTTGATGGAAGATGTGATTAGTTCGAGTCTAAAGCTTATTGAGCACAGCCTATACGGAGTGAATGCCGACGGAATCTGTTCAAAGTAATAGGTGACATAAACCAGGTCGAATTCGAGTCTGCCTCCTATGAATGCCTACTCGAACGGCCAATGCTGACTCGCATACCATAGAGGAATTCTTTTTAAGAATCATGCCCATCAAGGGATTCTTCCATGCTCGCGTGAACAGTCAAAGCGTTGTTCAAATGAGATGAGGATAAGGTATGGAAGCGGGGATCCAAAAACTGGTCGGTGTGATTGTGACAGCCGGCATGAGGTACATTAGCTGCTGCCGCCCGCATTGAGTTACGTCATGGATTGCTTTCTGTTCATAGCACCACATTATTATGTGATGATGTACTGCAGGTACTAACCAGTATGTAGATAACCTGCGAACATGACTAATTATGCCTCTACGCAAGATACGCTATGCGCTCCAATAATTAAGTTGTTACAGTCGCATTCCCTTTCCGTTCCCACTCGTGGGGTTTACTGTTGCCCAAAAAACATAGAAATGCCGGTATGCTCGGGAGGTCAATATTGTCCCACAACTTCAGGGAAGAACCAACGGCGTATCGTTTCAGGGTAGAATCAGGGTCGTTACTTGCGCATAATGGTAGCGTCACCACGCCGCAGCGGTTTGCATCATGGAGAAGGCTCTATCAAGATCTCAATCAGATATCGCTCGCGTGTCGGTCATAGTTCTTGCCATGCATGTTCTATTTTGGGGGACACCTGAAACTGTCAACTTTGATACAAGCTATTAAAAGAACATCGTGGATGACACCTGCAGCGTGGGAACTGAAACAGTAGTGAAGAACTTTAATTAGAATTGACGATGGTTCAGTCTGATCTTTCTTGCGAGATGCTTGATAGTATACTTGGGTATACTGGTTAGCGGGTACAGGGCTGCATAGCAAGACTCTAAAATTAATGCATGGAGAGGGGAGTTAGCTCAGTCCTAATTTTCTGTTCTATTCTTGTCTCAATTTTCCTTCTTCGATCAGGCTCATCCGTAAAAGCTTCCGGACCTGGTGATTGGCGGATGTTATGACCATATTGCCCAGCGGTTAAGTGGCCGCCAAATGGGAGAGGTTTGGAAAGATGGAAAGCATGGAGAGCATGGAAAGCATGGGAAAAACAATGGCGGGCGCTTGGGGTAGGAAACCCCGCGCTGCAGAGAGTTGCTAATTATGACAGCTTCAGGAAACCTATTCTTAGCTATTGAGATCGCATGAAGGTCATTTAGCTAAATATAAACATAGTCTAAATGCCTAAATGATAACAAACCAATGGGATGGGCCTGTCAGGCGCGATAAATTACTTAGTACCTAGGTAGTTTCTTCGGAGTATGCAGGCTGGGCGGTTAAACTTAACGGGGAGGAAGTTGCTAATTAAGGCTTTCCCCCTCTCTTATGAGTCTTATCGCCGGCTTCGATCCGCCCCGCTTCTGCACGGGCCGACTCCCCCAGCACAGTCCCTTCCCGCCTATTGGTCGCAATATCATCTTTTTCTTGACTGTAGACGCTCATCTATCGCCCTTCTCACCACTCGGCGACTAAATCTCGAGCATCTTGATCACCATGTCAAAAATCGAGGAAAAATCGCAAAAATCTCGAAAGAGTGCGAGCACCAAGAGACAGCTTCAGTTAGGCAGTGTTGGTGATGAGAGCTGGATAGCGACAAAATTGAGCGTGGGAGGAGCCGGAATAACAGTGCGCGGTTAGGAGACCTTCGAAAAGCAACGAAAATGTTGTTGCGGCGCTGCCAATCAGCAGAGAAAGCCGCCAGCCAAACAGTACGCGCTAACTAAGAATCTCTAGACCCTGACAGGAACCTCACACCATCCGCCCGACTGACATCCCTGCAGCCATCATCTCCTTGAGTGCGCGTCTAACGGCATGACCCAGCCGAAGAAACAACACCCTTGATCAGCATGTGCACCCCAGGAACCATCCTGTTCACTACCACCACCACCACCACCACCACCATCTTTCATCCACCATATATCATTTTAGCGCACAAACTGAACTACTCAATCTCATCCGACGATAATGATTTGTTGTCTGGCTTCAGGTCTCCACCTTGAGTTCGCATGTCAACTATCTTTTGAAACATCATCCTCGTCTATCTAACGCCAAGGGTGAAAAAATAGAAGCATCTAATCGATGGTTCCTGATCAAGACTCATTGGTCTGTTCCATCATCTTGCGATATACCAAGATGCATTTGAATTGATAAAGACCCGTTTCATCCTCATCATCAAATCTCCTCCTGCACCGTCGATGTTTCAGTCCATCCGACAAGAACGGTCTTCCTCTTCTCATACCTTCACTCTTGCCTTGTATACGACAACTTGTATACAACAACATATCTACCCCAAGATAGCCTACTTCATATCACGTTGACCCCACTCGCTTTTGACCTCTCGTCGGTCAATTGCCCCTTGCTACCGCACGGAAGGTCTCTTCTTTCGCCGAGGAACAACCCATCCAATTCGACATCATGTCATTGTCCGGCCACTCGTCACCGAAGGAGGATGTCCCCGAGCATCTGGCTGCGGTGGAGCCTGACGATATGGATGACTTGGCGGACCGACCCGCCGGTCCAAGGGCGTACCGCAGGTCTCGCTCAGGTATGCTGCATGCAATGCTAGACCCGACGGCCTGGTTCCCGTTGCGCTGTGCCGAAGAACGGCGCTTGTGTCTGGGCTGAGACTTGATTCGGCGTGTGACTAACTTAGGCGTATAGGGTGCTTCACTTGTCGTTTGAGGCGGAAAAAATGTGACGAGACCAGACCAACCTGCAAATCATGCGCGAAGCTCAGCCTCAAATGTGATTATAAGACCCCCCAGTGGTGGGCTACTCCCGAGCTGCGCCAGAAACAAATGGACAGAATCAAGACAAGGATCCGGCAAACTAAAGTGATGCAAAAAGAGGGCTCCTTGGAAGGTAGGTCTGATGCTTCTCATGCCAAAAGCGTGTTATAGTAACGAAAGCGCTACAGAGTACATGAATCGGATTCGAGCTCTTGTGCAAAAGGCTCCAACAATGTCAGAGCATGAATCCAATCGCCCAATGCTCGCAGATGGATACAATCCGTACGCAGTGTCTCTTCCTACTCCGGTCACGCCGTTCGATGTCAATGTGACAATGGAAAGTCAGGCTTTTGTTCTTCCTTCGCAAGTCGACTTCGGTTATTCTGCGCAGCTTCCGACTCCTGTCCAAGGGTCCATTTCAGGTCCCGCTATGGCACCCCCAGCTCCCGACACTTACATTCCCGTATGCTCTACTGCTAACACGTCTCTGACCGGATTGGCCATGCCCTCTGCTTCGATGCCTGTATCTCCTTCAGCTTCAACCTTGCTAACCATGAACCCGCCAGCCCCTTCATTCACATCTCAGGTCCAGTTGGTGACCCCAGAATTGACCAACAACGAATGGTACAACATGAACAGCAACAGCAACATGGCCGCTCCCACCGCCACCACCACTTCCCCATCCACTTACAGCACCAGCGGCATCAATGACTTGGGCATCAACAACAGCAGCACCTGCATCCCATGTACTGCTGGCTGCTGCAGTGGTGCCGGTGGGCAATCACAGAACTATAGCCACACAGACATAGGATCCACATACACCAGGAGTCTGACAGGCTATCTGCACGCTCTGATCCCGCTGAGCGAAACTGAGAGGCCGCTTCTGGATAACTTCATTGATCATGTTGTACGCTTGGTCCTGCCCATCCCAGAAATCTATCCGGGACACAATGTCCATGTGAGAGAGATTGTGAACTCGATGATGACCAACCGCTCTTATCTGCACTGCTGCCTGAGTGTGTCTGCGATTCATCTGAAAACCAGCATGGGTATGGAGGATCAGATGGATCATGACATCATGCAGCATCGATATGCAGCGATCTCTCAGCTCTCGAGGGCCCTAAATCGCCCAAACAGCTCAGTCCAAGTCATGGATGCTACCCTTGCAATGATCTTCTATCCTTGCATGATCAGCACGCCCGAGAACTACCTTCCGGATATCCCTTGGAGTCAGCACTTCCAGGCAGTCACAAACCTGGTCAAGAAGCTCCAGTACCCTCCGTCGCCCTTCAATGTGTCTCTTATCACATGGATCGACATATTGGGCGCCACCATGACGGGGAGGTCACCTGAATTCTCTCACACATACCGCACAAAGCACTTGAGGGGTATTGCCTCTGGCCTTCAGCAGCTAATGGGCTGCGACGATCGCGTGATGTATCTCATCTCCGAGATCTCTTGCCTTGAGTCGCTAAGGATTGAGGGTACTTTGGACGACCTGACCATTAGCCATCATGTCTCAGCTTTGAACACTCAGATTCACTGGACCGAGCCGTCTGAGCCAACTTTTGAGGGTATCTACACATCAACCGGCAGTATCAGGCCAGAACAAGTGACAAAGGTGCTGAGCTCTATGTTTCGCATTGCTGCGCGCATTTATCTCTACACCATTATCCCCAGCTTTGACCACCAAGAGGATTCTGTCGTGCAGATGGTATCTTCCATGGCCAATACTCTGCTGCTGCTTCCTGCAGGGCCTATGGGCTTTGACCGTGCTCTAGTCTGGCCGCTCTTTATGGCAGGGGTTTATTCATTGCCTTCCAGCTCGTTCCGAAAGATCCTAACCGAGAGAGTCGCGGCCCTAGGCTACCTTGGCAACTTCGGAAGCTTTGGTAAAATGTACCGCGTGCTGAAAGAAGTCTGGAAAAGCACTCTCACGGCGACCTCTTCTGCCACCAGCTCCCAGCAAGACGTGCTTAATTCGCCTACCCCCACTGCTACGTTTCAGCAGCAAAGCACTGTGCAGCAGACCAAGCCACACCGCGTTCATTGGCGTGAAGTCATGGCACGCAAGAAGTGGAACTTTCTCCTCATGTAGGAGGACGGCGAGTCTCAAATGGCTTCGCCCTGGCACTGATCCATGAAAAATCAGTGCCAACAAAATATTGGTGCGAAGACAGTGTATGCATTCCATGCATGTACATATGGAGAGGACTTTTGCTGCTCTTATCAATGACAGCAATTCCACGCCGCCCCTGCAAAGTCCTCAATGACAAGATGCCATGCGCTGTGGCGTGGAGTTTCTGCTTGTCCGCTCTCAGCTTTTCTTTTTCTTCTCTCTATTGATTCATCTTCCGCCCTGTTTGCTATTTGACGTTTCAGTTGAACTGGTTTCTTCAATGTCTTTGCTTACCCTATACGCTCGCTGGCTAGCTGGTCTGTGAACGGTGCTGCTGTTACAACGCCGGGTCGCACGTTCTCGAGTTTATAACTTTTTTTACCTTCCATTCTTCCTTGGACGAAGTCGTTGGAGGCTTTCATTGTTCTCTTCTCACCTTCATTTTTTTGATACCACTTTGTCTATGCGATTCTTATGGCCTTTATTTCCATTATATATGATTTTTATGACACTTTCGGATTCATTCTTTTGCGACCTGAACCCAGCATAGATCACTAGCTGTTAGGCAATTTGTGGGCCAGAATCTCTACTCATTGAATTTGATTGCCAATTTGTTAGCAGATTCACGCAGGCCCTAGAGCTGAACCCCGCTGTCTGTCCCCTAGGACAAGACATAAGCTCCTTACATTTATAGCTCTAGCTTGAGCATGCTAGGAAACCATGCATCTTCGAAGATCAAATGTAAGCAACCTACAAGCCGTAGATATAATCTCCGTTTACTGAAAGCAATTCCAAAAAGAGAAGTAATCAATCCACAATATACCAAGACCAGCAAGGTCCCACACACAGATCCGTCCGCATACTCATCTTCAAGTTCCTATTCTTCCCACGACAAACTCCTTACTTCCTCCCATCATCAGAATCAAGCCGTCAGTCTACGAAGCCAGCAAAGAACGAACCTGACACTCACCCCGACGACTGACCATGTGACTCATCAAAATTAAACAAGTCAACTAGCCGTCAAGTCAGTCAGCCAAGTTAGCTACCTACCTGTCAACTGCCTACACCTCCGACCCTCACGCCCGAATTCCGTCAGCTCCTACCTTCAACAACCGACTTAGCGCCCCTCTCCCAGCCCAGGAACCCAACTTAACACGTATCATACAATACCACAACCACAACAGCCCCAGACAGAGTACAGTACACACAATCCTTCCCCAACAAAGAACCCAAACAACGCAATAAAGAACCATGGAAGCACACGCGCCAGCTTCCCGGGCGCCGTCCCCCAAGTAGTCCGAGCCCACCAATCCTCTGTCGAACGTAGGGAGCGGTATACTCCGTAGTGCCTAGTAACTTATGGATCTGACTCGGTACTGGGCAGGTAGCCGCGCGGACCCCCGGCGGGCGGGCCTTGGGGGGCCCCCGAATCCTGGGCCGCCGCACCGCCCGCACCGCCTCCGCGGTCCCCACCCAATGCGCGATCTCCACGCGCGTTGACAGGCGTTGGAAGGATCCTTTACGGTCTGTTTGTCCCCTTCGCAATTGCATTCTGGAGGCTTAAAACTTGGCAGGATACTACTTTCAGGTGGTGTATGTCATGGGCTGCGTGTTCAAGTGGTGTCACTCTTTGCTCATGGGGTTGTTCGCTTAGGTCCCATTGTTTGTTTGGGGGTTTGCGGTGGTCTGGAAAGAAGTGTGATTGGGCGGTTTGAGGGGGGGGGTTCGGGTAAGGGAACTTAAGCTTCCGCCTGGAGTCATGATGGATTACGGTGTGGTTCCTTGGGGTGGGTTCGTTGGCCATGTAGGAGGGTTTCCTTCGGATGGCTGGCGTTTGGAGTAGAATCCCTTACTATCGTAAGTTTCGTCCTTGTCAAGGTACTGGGGCATTACATGGGATTATCTTGGAGATGACGCTGGAGGACCTTGCTGCTGTTGAAGGATGTCGTTATAGGAGTTCTGATGGTAGTGTTAGGTAGCAGGTAGCAGGTAAGAAGCACAGATACATGAGAACCACAAGATCAGAATTGCATTGCAAGCAAAAACAAGACAACCACACACGCAAGCCAAACCCCTCACATATTCTTTACAAATGCAGTTAAAACTCCCTCGCCCACCCAAAACGCCGCCGCCTTGCAGTACCAGACTCAACAATGAAAACCCGGGACTATACAGCTTTAAGGAAAAGAGACAAGAAGTCTTTCGCAGAAGAAAAAGATGAACTTGGGCCCACGTAGCGTTTCTGAGCCCCCACTTGGAAAGCCTGAGTATGCAGGTATAAATGATAACCGCTGTGCCTGACAGAGAACGAAACGGTTGAAGCCAGATCAATGATCTCTACACATTCCGGTGGTTGCCGTTTCTTCTTCGCTTGCCTTGAGGAGGGGGTTCAAGCTGAGGTGCCCGCTTATACGTGACTGTAGTTGTCACCACATGTCGGACGCTGAACGAGTTCCCAGAATCACTCGCAGGTGAGTCCAGAGGGCGGATGCGCCAGCAGTCTGAGGGGGAATAGGGTGAGCGGAGCGGATGTGCGCTGCGCGGGGACTCAGATACAGGTGTGTAGACGTATGGCGGTGGTAGACGCATGCGTTGGATTTGAATTGGACTTTTGGCGCTATATGGAGGTGTGGGAGCTTGGGGAGGGACGGTCAGGGAGCTTCCTCTGGAGGGGTAGCTGCTTGGGAAGGTGGTCGAGGTGGTGCTGGAGGGAGGTGACACCGGCGATGGACGAGGCTTGTCCATCATATACTTGGAAAAGTTTGCGCGGGAGGAAGTAGGACTGGAGAAGATGGGGTTGAAGGTGTTGAGAAACTCGGTATAGGCTGGTGGAGGCGTAATGGCAATGTCATTCTCCTCGTCGTCCCGCTTCTCAACGCTGCATGACCCGTCCATGTCCAGGCATGTGGTGAAAGTCTGCTCCCGCAGCTCGGAAGGGAAGTTCATAGTCTTTGGGGTGGTAAGTGGGTATAAGATAGGCTTCGTAGGTCCCATCTTGACTGATAATGAGGAAGAATGTACGCAGGTAGAAGTAGTCGGAGGTAGGCAACGACAACGGTGTAAAGTAGCTGGCCAGCAGGCTAATTCGGGGAAGACAGCGGGTATGGGACGAAATTATGCTGAGTGCAAGCCAAGGGAGGAAGCAGCCTTATCTAGCCAGCAGCAACGATGGAGAGGATTTGGTTTGTGGCTTGATGGCGACGACAGCATCTGGGGATCACAGTCAGAAGTCTATAACTACCCGTAAGATATCAGGCGTAAACTTACCAAGTTCCGTACAATACAGTATCGATACGTTATTATGGTACGTATCAACTAGACCCCGCATGGTTAGCCTCGCTCAGCTCTCGAAAATAGCAACAACAGTCAACCACCACTTACCAACACACCATACGGAAGCACTGATGGAGATCTAATGGCTTTGGAAGGTGGGGTGATAATACACAGCCTGAAACTTGGCTTTCTTGCACGATCCTAGGATCCTCGTGGCGGAATGCTCGTTTCGAAGGTAATAGACGCCGTCGGCCTAGCGACTAGCGGAGGTGCACAGTCCGGCTGGAACCCCACGATTATGAAGATAGAGAATGGTAGAGGGGAAGCAGAAAGACTAACTTTTGGAGTTCGTTGCGAGATACAACAGCCAACAGAAAGGACTGTAGCTTTATAGGCTTTCCAAGGTGACTTGTTCCCATCGACAACGTCGAGAGACGCAAATCTAGCATTGTCGCGCGCCATCTGATTCAGAAATTGTCTCTGTAGGCGACCTTCTCCAGACATCTTGACGGTTATCTCGCGGTTTAATCTGGAATCATTCATGCACAGCAGTTCGCAATGACGCGCGCGGTTCTACAGCCACTGTCGAATCTCTATTACCGGCCTCTGGGGATGGCAAAACACGGGGAACAGCCGTCCCTGCAGGACTAAGGACGTAGAAGGTATAGCCTGCAGAAGATTATCCAGGATAGACAGCGTCGAGAACGCTATCCGTTGGCTCATTCCCAATCATGGAGCGGGATAGGAGCCTGTCTGTCGAGATATCGTTTCAGACCGCGGCCCCTGACATCAAAGACCCAAAGGCGCGGCGCTTTAGAGATATGGTACCGGACCCTGGAGGATGGCTTTCAGCGCCTATTATACACTTTGACAATATTTTCCAGCAGCGAAAGATATCTATCAATACTGGGCTCGAGATCTAAACATTAACTTATGCGCCATACTAGTAGGCTTTGGCGGTAGTTTCTGGTGTTCGAGAGGGGTTCCCTCCAGTGTCGGTTTTAGCGCCGAGGGGATCAACCCAGCGAATATCTAGGCGCCCGTCTACGCCCTTCGCAACCATGCACTATCAACTGAAACTGTGCAGTCATTTACTAGTCGGTCTGTTGCAATGGTTCAGTAGCTTCAAGAGTATCAATCGTATCCGAAATGATTGCTGTATTCGATGACCCTGTAATGAGAGGCCTCCCTTACATGATTATGACAGTCAATGGAACCCCGCTTCGGCTCGCTCCCGCCTAACGCTTTCCGTTCCTCTCTCCGAGAGACATCATCAATTTACGACTGACAATTAACCACTAGGTACAGAGAAGTCACCACCTTAACTACAACCGATAGTCTCACAATCTTGACTCAAATACTGTCTGGCGCTTAATTAACATAGCATCCACCAAAGCGAGAGTCGTTGATGGCGAGTTCGGTCTATAAACAGAATAAGTTACTCAAAAGACGTTAATCAAGAACGCGAGTTAATGGAACCGTGCTTGCATCATTTAACCGCCGGGTATTGAAGGCTCCATGGTGTCAAGATGTGGTTTGAATGCTCGATATCTGACGGTGCATGCTCACAGACAATAGTCATCCAATGAGGCCCATGGCTTGTCGCCTGGGGCAGGCCAGTGGGTTCTAAGATTAGATTGCCAAGGAGACAGCCAGCTACACCCTGTGCTAAGAATAACCATCCCTGCAGATCAACTGCTCGCTATTTTTGGCACCCAGGCACGCTAGCAGAACTTCTTAACCTCACGTCGAGTACTTGTTGCGCAAATGGACCATGTGAAATCATGAGTATCTCTGCTCAAATCCTGCTTCTATGTTCTTATAGATGCATTCATAGGTCTTTATCCTCGGACTTGCAAGCCAGTGCCACGCATATTTTCTTGCCACTCGCCTGCAGTGGTTCAGTTCAAAATGCCGCCTGATGACCCGAAATCGCATATCAGACCGGCATACGCTTCGTCTATTGAGCCAAGTTATCTCATTTACTCTGCAGCCAATCCCGGTGAAGCATTGGGAAAGGTCGCGCTGATCTAAACCTCTCTCGTTCCCACTAATCTACCGGCTACAGAACTGACCCTACAAGTTAAAGCGGTAGCATCCGTATGCCCCTCCTCGCAGTCTACCTTGGTAAGCCCACTGATCAATAGGAACCGACCTACTCCCCTCCCTATCCTCCCGTTCCTGTCTCAAGAGCCACTTAGTGAGTCGTATTCTGCTCATCAAACTAGCCTACCTATGTTAAGACTCTCTTGTTCTATTATTATCCCCCCATGTGGTTCTATCTCGCGCTTATTCGAACTCTACACCCACCTTGTTCATCGAATTAGACCAGTCACCTTCAAGCTTCTCTGTGTCAGGGCTCCCCGAACTCGACTTTCCATGCATTCATCCCTACCTCTCTGTTCGTCTTGTCATCATTTTCTATCATTCTATCTCATCTCATCACATCATTCTCTTCCTGTCTCCACTCTTCGACATAAGCTACGCCTATCAACCCATGGTCTCAACCATGTAGGTGTTAATTATAGACTATAGTATGTGACCAGCGCTTGCAAAGCTCTTTCTCCCCGTTTTCCTTTCATCTAGAGGCGCCATCACATACTGCATGCGCAAGCTGTGATGTCTATCAGTGCTGTATTGCCATGCTTTGCCCATATACACCTCGTCTGTACCATACTGTATGATACATTCAGGGGGAGTGTGTCGGCTATCATGCACCTCAATCATCTCATGGCCTCTCTCGGTTTCTAATTTTAATTTATTTACCGCGCCCTCCATGAGGTTTCCTTTTTGTTTTTTTGCGGCCCTCGATCTTCTAGTAGTCACGAACATATGCTGAAGCCTACGGTGTCTTGGTTTACCAGCAATTGCCTCTGTCTTGCGCCTCCCCCCTCGACAAAACTCCATCTCCTTCCACTTCATTTATCGACAACATGCCTCAGCAGGCTTGCAATCAAGCAGGCCTGACAAACCACTGTAAGAATTGTCTCCTTTCCTCTATCCAGCAACAAATTGCGTTGGTGCATAAAGAGCACAGTAACCTGGCTGCTCGGTCCTTTCTCATTTGTGAACCGCCCAAGCCAATCGGACCCTTACTTAAATTTCGCTTGTAGGAGGGTAGAAGGTCATCCTATCGTCAGTGAGAAGGTACCCTGAAAACAAGGACGATCATGTCCGAGAACAAGCATTTTACCCCGGCCACTGCATGCTTTCTCGCTTCTTTACTCGTCGTTCCTTCTTGACATGCCGCCTCCGATTATACCCCGCTCTACATCATCCCAGCCTTTTGTGTCGGGAACTCTGTCTGTTTCAAGCAATCATCCCGGGACACTCCAAATTGATAATTACGAGATCTGCTTTGACTTTACTCTGAAGCAGATGATCTCAGGCCTTCTTACCCTAAGCTCTTAAGTACCGGCTTCTGGTCGCCCAAAGCAATCCACTGCCAACCCTCAGTAGTCATTTCCGACGGAGGCCACGAAAACCCCGCTCCTCTGCAGCCCTATGACAGGGAAGGCTCTGGTAACCCACTAAGTTCCCTGACAGAATAGTGTGCTATCAGGGACTCAAAGGAGAATAGAGACTGATCAGGAGGATTTGAGAAGGAAATCCGATTGACTCTAAGAGCTGAGAATATGTAACCGTGCTTGTGGCCTCCTTCGGATGATTAATCAACAATTCTGCTCCGGTCTTACCTTTCTAAATCTGTACTCACTTATAAAGATCTCAAAAATTATCTTAATGTGTACTTCGGTCTAGCGGAGAGTTATCTGTGTTAGAAGTCTGGGATGGTCTTGGCTACTAAGTTATGAGAAATGAATTGTTGTATCTGCATAGCTCTTCCATCATCTTCTCTTTGTACTGAGTAGACAGCTTAGCTTCAGAAGCTTGCAGAGCTTTTAAGGGCTACTTTGAAATTAGTTAAGGAGGGGATCGGATGCAACACTATCTCTGTTCTGGGTTCAAAACATATTTCTCATCGAAGAACTTGTATGGAAGATAGACTTCATTGTGTGGTGCAGGGACTGATAGTCACATCGTATCCTCCCTAGCTTGAAGTAGTACACAGAGAATCATTTCTTTTGAGGAGAGCTTCTGCTCATTCATCATTTGATTAAGAACACTCTTGAAATTGACTCTTCACAGCTTATCTTCGTCGGGGAGAGCAGGATGTTATGCATGTTTTAACGTCTCCTTAGTCAGCATATGCACGGGCACTTCATCGTATCACCTGACCGCCGGCTGGCGATGATGGATTACACCAATCATTGAATGGGATGGGACTTCCCTCTCCCCAGCTTAAAACCACAACCATCAGCCATCATCTATTCTGCTAAAGAGCAGTGCATGCGACCGCATCTAGATCAAACCGAGATGGCGCCCGACAGAACAGAAGAGGCGCATTCGTCTACTTCACCCGACACCACAGTGGCTCCAGACCCGCCGCCCATCCATCCTTCATTCATTCAGGTCGCCAAGCCGTACATCTTCGAGCAGACCATCCAGCAATGTATTGCCGCCATGGGAGTCAACCCCCTGCGCGAGGAATCCCTCCGTCTACAGGGAGTAACATGGATTGACAGTGTACGACGCAACCTGTTTCTGTATGTCTATCCCTCGACCATATTTCAATACAGAAAATCAAGAAAGTTAACATGTCATGCATAGCCCAATCCGCACCTTCAACACGGCGGTGGTGTACTACCACAAGTTCCGACTCGTTCACCCTGATAACGAGTACAATTACACAGTAAGTCCTCATTCTTCTGTCACAGCATTATTACAGAACTAACGAATGTCCCCAGGATGCCGCTACAGCCGCTCTCTTCACGGCCTGCAAGGTCGAAGACACGCTCAAGCGATCCCGTGAGATCGTGTGTGCAGCGTATAACCTCAAGCTGCCACCCCATGAGCACGTGGCTCCCGACAACCAGGTAGCATGCCCCTCTGTCTTGCCAAATCCATATCCTTCTCAACCCCTCTCCACTCCTACTTTACTACACAAGTCTTGCATTCCAGGCTGACCAACTCAACTACAGGCCTTCGACATCCCCGCCCGGGGTATAATCGGCCTCGAGCGCCTGATGCTCGAATCCTCCGGCTTCGACTTCCGCACGCGCCACCCGCAGAAGACGCTCGTCAAGCTGGCGCGCAAGTACGGGCTGACCTCGCAGTCGGAGGTCTCGA